AGAAAACAATAATATTTGTAGTAATAATAATAATGATGATGAAAATACTTACACACTATTTATTATTTAAAATAAAATGAAAATCTGCAGTTAATATTTTTTCAAAAGCAATGATATTAACTATAATATAATGATGAAAACACTTACAACCTATTTATTATTTAAAATAAAATGAAAATCAACAATTAATATTTTTTTCAAAAATGATGACATTGATTGACTGTAATAATAATGATGATGATGAAAGTGCTTACACACTATTTATTATTTAAAATAAAATGAAATCACCAGTTAATAATTTTCAAAAACAATGATATTGACTGTAGTAATAATAATGGTGAAAATATTTACACACACTATTTATTATTTAAAGTAAAATGAAAATTAACAGTTAATATTTTTCAAAAAAAATGATATCAACAGTAGTAATAGTAATGATGAAAATACTTACTGACTATTTATTATTTAAAATAAAATAGAAAATCAACAGTTAATATTTTTCAAAAAAAAATGATATTAACAGTAGTAATAGTAATGATGATGAAAATACTTACAGACTATTTATTATTTAAAATGAAATGAAAATCAACAGTTAATATTTTTTCAAAAACAATGATATTGACTGTAGTAATAAATAATAATGAAAATACTTACTGCCCTATTTATTGTTTAAAATAAAATGAAAATCATATTTTCAAAAATAATGATATTGACTGTAGTAATAATAATGATGAAATACTTACACACTATTTATCATTTAAAATAAAATGAAAATCAACAGTTAATATGTTTCCAAAAACAATGATATTGACTGTAGTAATAATGATGATGAAAATACCTACTCTCTATTTATTATCTAAAATAAAATGAAATCAACAGTTTAATATTTTTTCAAAAAACAATGATATTGACTGTAATACTTACGTGCTATTTATTATTTTAAAATAAATGAAAATCAACAGTTAATATTTTTTCAAAAACAATGATATTGACTGTAGTAATACTTACCTGCTATTTATTATTTAAAATAAATGAAAATCAACAGTTAATAATATGTTTTCAAAAGACTGTAATAATAATAATGATGATGAAAATACTTACTCCCTATTTATTATTTAAAATAAAATGAAATCAACAGTTAATATTTTTTCAAAAACAATATTTATTGTAATAAATGAAATATAGGGTGCCATAATAGACAAAAGTCCAGTTATTAATTAGGTTCATATCCAAGATATTATCCAAATTAATAATTATCAAAAAATAAATTCAGGGGATGGACCCAGTTAATAAGTCCATTACAGCACATCATAATAAAATGCTTACGTTTCTTCAAACTATGATCTAATGGTCTTTCTAAAGCAACAACAGCAAAGATAATCAAGAATAAAAGGGAAATATTGAGTTTCATTTTGATTGATTGTACAGATAATTTTTTTTGGCTTTTCAAATTGTATAAAATTAAAGATATTTACAAAAAGAAGAGTCAGTATTTATTTTATTATTCTACGAATAAATTTTTTTTTACAAATAAATGAATCCTTAAATATTTATCGGAATTTAACGGTTTAAACTTATTCAAATAAGCCAGACAGGCAATGATAAAAAATTTTATTTACAAAAAAAGCATAATGAATTAAAAAGAGATAAAATTAAAAATAAAAAACCCGTTAATAGTAAATTACAAGAAACAACAATATCAGCAGTAGTATTAATAAGTACCACGGGTCAACAACAGATGCGCGAAACATAAACTTTTTTAAAAAAACCTCTATGAATAAAAAATATATAAATTAAATGAATATAATAAAAATAATGAAATATCTAATTTTTTGGTTAGAAATTCACAAAAATGCTAAAGGTACTACATTTCAGAATTTTATGCTATTGCTATTACTGTTATTTTATTATTATTGTTATTATTGTTATGGACAGTCAAGAGGGTTTTCCATTCGGATTTGTAAAAATAATATATATATATATATTATATTAATTAATTAAATATTTTAATTGAAGGATGAATTGTTTTTAATCGTGATTTATTTGATTTCCAGTAAGCAAAGACAGCACCACACATCCTTTACCAGCTCCATTCAAGACTGAACAAATTCTTATTGGTTCTTCTTGATCAAAGTCCATGTTCAACTATGTTTTTTGTCTATTTGGTCTTAATGATGGCACCTGTTCATTTGAATTCAAGGTAGCCTATGTTTTTCAGTGAAAAAAGAAATGATTGGTATATTTAAACACCAATACTGGACGTTTTTAATGTTAATATAAAATGATTACGTCGTTAAACTAAAAAAAAAATTAAAAAATTTCTCGAGGGTTTCGGCAAGCTCCTGTAAGGTTAAAATTATTCACTATATTTGGAATACAAACTGTAAGTGGTCATTTAAAAATTAGATTAAATTTGAAATATTTTTTTTAAAACTTCATAATCGCGAAGTCTATTAATATAGAAGGAAATCCAGGATCTAACAATAAACGGTATAGCATGGATTTATTTTGCCCTATGATGATCCAGTAATTTAAATTAAATATTACCATACATATAACCTAAAAAAGAAGGGAAAACAATAAGGATTTTTAAAAGAATATCAAATCAACTTTGTTCTTTATATGTAAATAGATCATCAAACATTATTTTATTCTATAACATTTGTTCCCCATTAAATGTAGCTTTAACAAATTTGGTTAATTGGTAAATAATCTTCTCTCATTTATAGAATACCTCATATATAACGGCAATGTATTTTTTATTCTCTCGAAATAATTTTTTTCTGATTATCTTCATTATTTTCACTTTTCCTTCCGCATACTTTCTTCCATTACCTCTTTCAAAAAAAAAACAAAAAAAAACTCCATATTCCTCCACATTCTTTTGCCATTCACAACGGTATTTATTTTTGACTAAATAAGAAATTACTGTGTAGCAAAAATTCGAACTATCAAAAAATATACATAAATATAAAATAAAAAAATGAAACAAAGTACATTATCATCAATACTCTTAAGCTGTTTGCTGGCATTTTCACCATTGAATATAGAGGCTCAAGTCCCACAGAAACTACAAGGTTACCCACCAGTTAATGCGACACCACCAGCTGATCCGAAATTTACTGCTTTGGTTGATTTGACTAAAATTCCAGATGCTCCTATTAGAAGAGCGCAAAAGGATCCTTGTGATAGTGCTGATGATCCCTATTGTTATTGGAGTTGTACACTTTGTTTAAGAGATAATGATATTAAAACATGTCCCAATCCAAAAGATTGGGGCATCACATACGATGATGGTCCTTCGTAAGTATATTGATTGATAATAATATATAATCTATCTCTTTTGTTCAATTAAATTTTATTTATTAAAAAAAAAATTTATTATTATTATTATTTATTACTACTATTATATAGACCATTTACACCAGCAATTTTAGATTATCTTAAGGCAAAAAATGCAAAAGCAACATTTTTCGTTGTTGGTTCCAGGGTTAGCGAATATCCTGAGATTACAAAAAGAGCTTTTGATGAAGGTAAGATAAAAACTCGATTCAAAAAAAAAAAAAATAGTAAAATAAAATTTCTCGACCTTTTTTTTTTCTAAAAAAAAAAACTTATTATTATTATTACAGGGCATCAAATCGGAATCCACACTTGGTCGCACACAGCATTAACAACACTAACAAATGAAGTAGTTATATCTGAGTTGCAATGGACCGCAACAGCTATTGAAGAAGCAACTGGTAAAAAACCTGAATTAGTGAGACCACCACAAGGAGATCACGATGATCGTATAAGATACATCGCCAATGCATTAGGTTATAAAATTGCTATGTGGAATAAAGACCCGAACGATTGGATGGTCTCACAAGATCTAAACTACGATGTAAGCTGGATTTCAGGCAACTTTACTCAATGGACAAATGAACAATTAACAACTGGTCATGTTTCTTTGGAACATGATCTGTTTCAAGAATCTGCCGCCCATGCCCCAGAAGCTCTTGATATAGTTCTGGGCGCTGGATTCAACACTAGGACTATTTCTGATTGTGCAAGCCAACCTGCTTTGGTTGGTAATACTACTAGCAACACCACTTCTACTTCTACTTCTACTGCTACCACAACTGCAGCAAATACTCCATCTACATCTATTGAAAACAATCAATACAGTTCTTCCACTTCTTCTGCTAATTTGTTAACAATTAATTCCTTTATCGGGCTTAGTATAACAGCAGTCATTACAATTGTTTCATATTCATTAAATTTTTGAATAATGATTTTCCCTCATATAATATATACATAATAGAACATTTTAATTAATTTGTTAGGGTTTAGTTTAGTTTACATATAAATAATAAGTGAATTTTAAAAGCATTAATTTGTGTTTTTCAACATAGTAGAATTGACGAAAATCTGCTCAATTGAAACACAATTGCACCGCATCCAAGTTCACCAAAAAAAATTTTTCGAATAAATCTTAAAGATTCCAAAAATATAAAAAAATTATAACTTTTTTTTATATATTGGGTATCGTTAGATTTCAAGGATTTTACATATAAAATTGTAATGTTAAAAAAAACATAGAGAATTTTTTTTTTGTTTTCATTTGTAATAAACATATAGAATATGTATTTTATTACGAAAAAACCTTTTAAACAATAAATTTTTGCCTAGTTTTTTTATATTGATATAAATATGTCTGTCCTTTTTTTTTAATTTAAAGCTCTTATTATTTGTTATAAGTAATATCCATAATATATGCTAGAATAAATATAACCTTTCGGAAATAAAACTTACTATGTTTTTTTAAACGTGTTGATATGCGTTGATGGTTTTAAATTATAGGAAGGCATGAGTTTCCATTTGAGGGAAAATTTTATTATCTCTGCGAAACACAATTAAATAATTGTTAATATTAACAAGAATTTTACCCCCAAGACCAGAACGTTTATTAAGAATTGACAAATAAAGGAATAAACCCAAACTTGTTAGGAATATTCATACATTAAATCTCATATTCCTCTTCCAATTAGAATTCCATATTCCCGAATGTTCGGATTTACGGATAAACATTAAAAATAATAATAATAGTAATAATAATAGTGGAGTAGTGTAACATTCTGAAAATTAATTTGTTTCTGTTGTAGCTGTTGATGAACAGAGGAGGAGAATAATATCAAATGTGTTTGATGGGGAAGTTGACAAAGAAGATAACGTCGAAGGCATCTGATAATGATGATGACTTTCTTGGATTTAAAAAATCCATAAAAAAATTCAATTGACCTATTTACAATAAAAAAACTTACTTTAATTTTGACATCAAAAGAAAAAGGATCCATAAACGAATATGCATCATGGAATATATGTTAGATGGATGATCTATCAATTCCAAACAGTTGGATTCTCTTTCATTTAACCGAAACATCATCTCTCCAAAGACTGTTTCATTGGTTTTTATTAGGGGTTGGCACTGTTAACCGTTTAACCGCAATTAAACGGTTAACCGGTTTGAGTTTCCATTTGAGGGAAAATTTTATTATCTCTGCGAAACACAATTAAATAATTGTTAATATTAACAAGAATTTTACCCCCAAGACCAGAACGTTTATTAAGAATTGACAAATAAAGGAATAAACCCAAACTTGTTAGGAATATTCATACATTAAATCTCATATTCCTCTTCCAATTAGAATTCCATATTCCCGAATGTTCGGATTTACGGATAAACATTAAAAATAATAATAATAGTAATAATAATAGTGGAGTAGTGTAACATTCTGAAAATTAATTTGTTTCTGTTGTAGCTGTTGATGAACAGAGGAGGAGAATAATATCAAATGTGTTTGATGGGGAAGTTGACAAAGAAGATAACGTCGAAGGCATCTGATAATGATGATGACTTTCTTGGATTTAAAAAATCCATAAAAAAATTCAATTGACCTATTTACAATAAAAAAACTTACTTTAATTTTGACATCAAAAGAAAAAGGATCCATAAACGAATATGCATCATGGAATATATGTTAGATGGATGATCTATCAATTCCAAACAGTTGGATTCTCTTTCATTTAACCGAAACATCATCTCTCCAAAGACTGTTTCATTGGTAAAAATCTCCATAAAAACTAGAGGTTGGCACCACGCAAAATTCTTTAACCGGTTAACCGGTTAATTTAGTCACGCCTGTTGAATTTTATTATTATACACTTAATAGATGCTAAATGATTACAGTCAAACCTCGCCACAGTGGATTCATGGTTCCAGCCAAAAAAATCCGTTGTTATTATTATGACAAGAAGTCCGCAGCGGCAAAATTGGTGATGATCGGGCAAAATTTTTTTAATAATACAAAGCTCTCTCTCTATACCGAACCCTCTGTCAATTATATGCATTTTTCTGCTTTTGTTCATTATAAGAAAAAATTAACAATAAAAACTGAATCGAAGACGAGCGACAAAAGGGAAATTCGTTATAGAGAATAAATAAATAAATAAATGAACAATACATACGGAAATGAAAATTATTTGTTGAAATAAGATGTAATATTTGGTTGTATTATCTAATAATTTCACTTTTT